TTATATTTCCCAACAAGTTATGATGGCCAAGTCACCAAGAACGAGACTTATCCAGAAAACAAATATTTAATGACAATCTGCACAATCTACAACACAAGGCATTAAAATATAATTAACAGCAACACAACTTATAGTAAAGCACATGATTGTATGTTTATACGTGTAGCAAGGTCTGGGACTAGCATGAGCAACAGACTATATTAAACAATGGGCCCCATTCTAGTGCAGATTTTTCCCTCTGTAACTTTGGTTAAAACAAAGGAAAATGATGAAAGAGAGTTAGTTCCCAAGTTAAAAATGTATAACAATAAAATTAATCTTCACTTTAACCTCTATGAATCCAAGTTCCTACCACATTTTCACCAAAATTATAATAATTCATACTTTAAATTTAAACCTATACTCCACCATCCTTTGAAGGAGGTAGGGTATCTTTAGTCTGCTCGAAATTTCATACTTTTTTAGACTAAAATGCATCTTAGTTACTAAGCTCGATAAGTTATAGTGGAATTCTATGGTACTAATGTAGTAATTTATGATTTTTTAGTTATTCAAATGTATATATAAAAACCTAAAAAAATATTTTGTTTCATATCCTTCACGTGCAAATTTTTGAAAGGCTTAGCAACCTACCTCAAGCAGCAACTGAGTACAAAGGTCTTAACTAGAAGAGATAATTGTTTTCTTTACTTCTTTAGTTACTGTTCTATGTTTTAAGAAAAACATGTTTGATAACTTATTTCAAAATAGCAATAATCTATATACATATACAATGTATAATAATTGAAATGTGACTATTTTACAAATAATAGTCTACTAAACCACAGCCAAGACAAGTTACTTTGTACAGACCAAAGGTCATCTTTATGTTATTTGATACAGTAACATGAGTGCATGTGAGCTGCATCATTGTAACTTCTGTATTGTTAGCCAGGCAAGGGTGAAAGGGCAATATAACAAAAATAATAAATATATGTAAATGTATAACGTTATGAGATTTAAGTTATTTCGTCTAAACACTTATGTTTTCATGTTCTAATTTGTGTTCATTCTAGAATGAAAGAGGCACAATTTATGTTTATTTCCCAATTTTTTTATGGTGTTTGCAAGATCGTTCAAATCTCCCGAACTCGTACAGAGATTGATTACTGAAAATAACAGATAAAATATATGGTTTTTCTTAAGAAATGTGTGATAACTATCTGGACATTATAAGGATTTTGCATATGAAATTTCAAAATTTTCTGATGCATAAAAGTATTTTTAATCATAAAATGAATATTACTTTGCATGATAAATGTGAAAAGAAAAAAAAAGGTACGAGAGAAACAGTTGTACAAACCTTAAGACTAAATAAAGTCTTAGTTATAGTAGTTATAACATGAAAACTATAACAAGCACAAAATAGTTAAGAGGTTGGTCGCAGGGACCAAGCCCATGCTGAAAGAGTTAAAAAGTAGTCTCTACCACTGTTTAACAGTTAATTTTCTATCCCACTGAGCTATCACGGCTACAAGCACCAACAGATAACTCCTACTTTAATTGTCACAATTGACATATATAATAAACAATAGAATTATCAAACAAACTCCACAAGTCACATTAAAAAAAAATCAAGATAGTATTAATTTATCACAATCTTCTGTCATGTACCTTCAAGACAATTTTTAATCTTTAGAGTATTTTCCCCATTCCGTATCAATCTAACTCACTAATCTATTGTGGAAAATCATATAAAAAGCCTCCTAAAAGTCTAGAGTACCCTCATTTACACAAACAAAAGCCTATTATGAAACTTCAACAAAACCCTTTTATATGGCTGTGCTGAGAAATTTAACTCAAATTCCAACTGTCAAGCAATAACAATATAAACAAAACTTGAGTGCACCAAGAGACCTAACTATTGGTCCATTTAGACCCCTCTCATCCACTATAAAAAACAAATTCAAACCCAGCCCTTATTGTTCAAATGTCTATCAAACCTTCTTTTAAATTCCCTTAAATTTACTGCATCCACCACATCTGAAGGCAATCATTTGAAAAGCAACCCTTCCCTTTTAGAAAAATAAAACTGTATTAGCCTGAAGATGACTTTTAACCCGTCAAATTTTGTCCCTAATCCTACCATTTTCACCATTAATTAAGAAAAAAAAATTGCATCAACACTACCAGTTCCCATAACAATATTAAACACTTCAATCAAGTCCCTTCTAACTCTTCTTTTTTCAAGAGATATTAACTTGTCTTTATGACACTGACTAAGCTGAATAACCATCAAATCTAAAACACTAACTTTGATTACCTAATTATTTTTGTAACAAACAAATTAATCAACTTTTTTACATAACACTAACTGATGTGACAGATTATGTTGATCAATCAAGGCAATTGCTCAGCTCCACTACAAACATTTATCTTCCTTTCTCACCCTCAGTAAAAATCAAAGCTTCAAACTATGATATTCATGGATCAAGTTAAGACAAAATTGTGCATGTTTACACAATACATGCTTAACACATCTTTGTTTAGTTTTTCTCTTTATGTCTCACTTGAATATAATATCAATGTTTTTCACTTCAAATAATACAGTAAAACAATATTGGTTCTTCTCACTGATTCATCAACAATCTGTCTAGACATTCAGTTGAGTACTGGCAGAACCAATTGTAATGTAGGCACAACTGTAAGCAGGAAATCTTATGTACACAGTAGTATTGGCTTTTTTTTGGAAGATACAATTTTTGGTTACCTATGCATTTACAAAACACTTTTTTTAACCTTGAAGCAAGCTCTAACGCAGTTACCTGCAACTGCCTAAAAGCAATTTCCTTAACCTTAACTGTTTTCCACTTTAGCAAATCCAGCATCTTCCTCCTTTTCTATGTCAATAACAATCTTGCCTTTATGTTTTTTTTTGCTCTTTATACTTCCATGACTTCCTGTACAAATCTATTGCAACTTCACAATTTTCTTGGCAAGCTCTACAAATACATACATCGAGTCCCCTCAAAACTGAAACTCAGATTGGTATTTTCAAAAATACTTTAATTTTCACTAAGAACTTAGAAGTCTAGGTAAATATCAAAATATGGAGTAAATCCACTAAAAATAGGAATAACAATGAAAAATTACTATTAACACTCCATTTGGGTTATATGTATAAGATACACATAAATGGATTAGTTTAATCATTAAAAACATTGAAATCTTGGCTTGCTGTTAAATCTTAAAACAACAGAAATCCTGTAGTGTGCTTGACATAGTACAGTATAAATAATCACCTACAGGTGGCAAAACATATATTCTATTTTGCACTACTTCATCTATTATAAGATTATATTTGAAAATGCACATTTAAAATTAATGCACTACTTTACATTTGTATCCCTCCACAGTTGTTTGAAAAATGCATTTCACTATAACTGCACATAAATTATCATCATTTATTAAAAACACTAGCTTACTTCCATTATATTTTTTGATATCTTTGACAAGTACAAATAACTCTGTACTAATTTTTCATTTGACACTTTTCACACAAGTTATTCTTATCAAAAGTACATGACTATTCATATTCTCTATTCTACTTAAAGTTAACTTAAAAGTTACAGCTGCAAGTTTTAAATAACTATAAATTATAAATCCAAGAATACTCCGAAGTTTCCTTTCTTATCATTTATGATTCGCAACTATTCTAATTTCATATAATTCAAAGTTTAGTACTGTAGCACTAATAATATCATCTTGTAATGTTTTACCAGTGTAAATTATTGGGATAATTTCTTATTGGTAGATTTACTATCATGTGATGTTACATCATCAGTCAAATGTTACCCCATAATATCTGTCAACTGTCAGTGAAGACCAAAATTTCAAATTTATTACTTAGAAGGCATCATTTGTTGGTAAGTACCAATTTCATTACTTATATATATATATTCAAAATTGGCCCATCCATTTAAGAGAAAATGTCTGAAAATCGTTGAACATGGCTTTTTTTTTATAGCCTATTATTCCTCTTTGAAAGTAATGCACTTGAGGTTGCATTTTATCAATGATACTACTGAAATCCATGGTAAAAGTATGCGGTAAAAATATTTACCAAAAAATGACAAATTCATTAAAATGTATGAATGTATCTAATAAAAAATTACATTTAGATTTAAATTTTTTTAAGTTAATTCATAATTTACTAGAATTTTTGAAGAATTTGATGAATTTCTATTCAGTCTTACTTTTAGTTTTAAAGAGGGCATTTTTATTTTAACAAAATGAAAAAATTTTATATGAGAAAAATAAAATATGACAATTTTGTGCTCCATACTATGGACTATCAGAGTAAACAATGGAAAGTACCAATACACCAGTAATACAATACGCCTATTTCTAAAATAACTCCACAGGTCATCTTGAACATTTAATCTAGTAATGTCAAACATGAAGAAATGAAAGGGAAACACAGATTTTTAATGCTTAATAATACTAATAGTACTAACATATGAAATAGGTTGGATAATCTAGCTTGTAAATATAAGAAGTACATTTCATTTTCCTCTTTATTATATGGATAATATTAATACACTATCATCCAGTTGAAGTTCTAACAATTGCAAAACATAAAAAGGCATCTCCAACTACCAAGATTGAAGATACATTCTATAACACTTAACATAAATAAACCAGCTAACAGTCTCCAAGACTCTACCAAGTTTAAATGTAGTAGAAGCTATTGTTACAACTAATACTAGCATTGATGCTACTAATAGCAAACTACTGTGTTAGCCAAACTCTAAACAAGTTATAAGTTTACTTATTTATACCATAACTGTCCCTAGGCCTAACATAGTAACATTGACATCACTGTCAGCAGTTTTTAATTTACTATTTCTAATGCTAATAATGGACCTAATTCAGCCATATATTTTACAAATTGGTGTAAAAAACCTCTTAACAAAATACCTCTACTTCAAACAACTATTGAAGTTGCAACGTACATTTACCTTATCTTTTTTTGATTTATTTGGCATTTTTTAAGACTTTCCACTCCATGAATTCGAGAACTTTGATCACAGATTACTAGTACTTTGTAGAATACTATTGCCTGGATTGGTTGATGGTCATCGCTCATATAGATTAGTGTATGTCACGTGACAGAAATATCCTAACGTCACCACAAGTGGGAATTCTCTCTCTCTCTCTTTTTTTTTTAATAAAACATTTATATGATTAACACAATATACAATTTAAGGACATTAAGAAACCTATGATCCATCTAGGCTGTTCAGACACTAAATTACACTAAACTAAACGATAAAAACTCATTGTAAGCCTTTATCAGTTAAATATTTCACAAGCATTCCCATTAAACTCCCTTAAGTTTACTACTTTCACCACTTTTGAAGACAACCTATTCCAAAGGGCAACCACCTTGCCAGAAAAATTAAACTATCTTAGCTGAAAATGTCTCCCACCCCGCCAAAATTTATATTTGTTCCCCTTAGTCCTACTATGCTGTCATTAAGTGCGAAAAATGATGATCAATCCACATAATCAATTCCCTTAACAATCTTAAACACCTTAATTAGATCCCATTTAACATTTCTCTTTCAAGAGAAAACACTTTCAGAAACCTTAAACTGTCCTCGCATGACAACTTTTCCATCTTAGGTATTACCCTAGTAGTTCTTCTCTGAACCCTTTTCAACAGTTCAATGTCCTTCCTAAGGTAGAGACCAATACTCTAAATGTGGAACAACTATTGTAATCTATACAATGAAATTATAATATTGTTACGTCTCCGTGTGTTAATTAATTTTCCGTAACTTCGTTCCGACGAAACT